CTTCAAGGCGACACTTGGGCACTCTTTAGCTTCGAAAGTCGCAAAAATTAATCATTTTTTTTTGCAGTAAAATCGATGAGCTTTACATCAAATCTCGAGCGTAGATGTTGCCCAAATCACGTGCAAAGCAGCGAAACTGGGCGCAAAGTTGCCTGCCAAAGGCTGCGAAGTCTTGAGCCCTAGTCACTTCAGCAAATCCAAGAAACCCGAAAAAGTTGCTTGTTATAGACAGGTTTTTGTTGCGTTCGTTGTACAGAGATTCGACTGCATGTTCGAATCATTTTTTGATATCAATCCGTCAGTTAAATAATGTGGATTTACCGCAGCAAAACTCCTCGGCGCATTCGCACACCAAATTCCCAGCCACGGCTAGCCATCGCAGAGCGATGATTCGCGATTCCACGGCGCCACAAATCCACATTATTTTGTCGACAGACTAGTAATAAAATACTACTTTATTTATGAAGTTTGAGCAAAATCGAAATGTCAAAACTGAAGCCGTAGGTACGCTGCTTCCTCCAGACCCCGTTGCAGACCCCGGTTTAAACTTTTCAAATGTTCTTCTTCCAAAAAACATGTAAACCTCCCGGATTAGTCGCGCAAGTGTATTTTAGGAACTCCCCACATAAAAACTCACGAATTCCTTGCGGAACATCGCTTGCCGACATTGTTTGCGACGCACGTCAGAACGATTAATCTCAATTCGACGGTTTTCTCACATATTCGCTTGGGATTTACGGTGATTTCTATATTTGGGTGCGATTAGCCGCTTGTTCCACGGGCATTATCCGAGCGTTTTGAATTTCGCAGCGTTTTAGAGGAGTTGAAGTTTGTTTGAATCGTTTGGATGAGATAAAATTTGGCTTGATAAGGAGTTTAGATGAAATTTAAACAACAAATTGCCCGCTAATAGCGCGTCCTGACTTTTCGGGTCGACGAAAGTTCGGGTCAACGCAAAATCGATTGATACGGGGTGGTATGACTGGTGGATGCCAAAACAAAGGTTTAGTAAGTGCCTAGCTGGCCTGGCAAAGCCGTTGGATGATCGGCGGACGCTCGGCGGAGACTTGCAATACGTCATCTTTTCCTATATCAAAAAAAATCTAACTCTTGCTTTGCAGAACGACCAAGATTTTTAGGCTGACCCGAGCTTCTCGAGCAGGATTTTGGGACTATTTAGAGTATGTGCACAAAATGTCAGTCCGTCGGAAAAATAACGGCGAGTCATCGCGTCTTTGCGATCAATCGCCCATCATCATCGCTCTGCGACGGCTAGCCGAAGCTAGCGATTCGGAGCGCGAGAGAAGAAAAATTTTTGTAGTTTTCTAAAAACACCAATCGGAATTTTAAATCAGTGTAATAGCTGCAAAGATCAGAATGATGTTCGCAAATATTTACACCTTGGAATATTTCCTGGAGTACCCGGTATGATCAGTGTCTCGGGAAAATAACGGCGGTCATCGCGCCTTGGAATCGCCCGTCGTCGCTTTTTTTGTTGCGGCGAACTGCCACTATTTTCCCGACAAAATGGTAGTATTTTCATAAAGTGTATGGACATTTGTCGCGATGCACAGAGTTCACAAAAATCCCCATTTTTTACACCACGCTTAACCTTTTTTTTGGTTTTTGAACTGGGAAAGAGTTTAAAATGCGCGGAAAAATGTCTCTGCACCTTCTGAAAAGATTACTAATATGTCAATTTCTAAACAAAATCGATGAATCACCTTTCGTTGAAGGTCTGACCTAATTTGGCAAATTAGATTTAGCCCAATTCCCCACAAATAATAGCCAAAAAAATTACCGTACCCCATTTTTTGGCACCTTCCCCGACGCACGCAGTTTACGACCGCTGTCTCCGTAAACCAATCAAGAAATTAGGCCGTTCTCGGAGCGCGGCGGGCTAATGCCTCCGAGAAATGGGGCTGAAATCGCCGCCGCCCTACTGTAATCGTATTTGCTTTGGCCAACAACACGACTAACCCGCTTGCGCTACGGTGGCGTGCTGGCGTCAATTTGGGGGTGTAATCGGCGGCTTCAGCCCGCTTTGCGAAGATGCAAGTGTTTTCGTATGTTCGAGCAACGCTCGCTAATGCCGATTACGCCTTCAACTCGATGCAATCTGCGCCGTAAGTCAATGCAATGACAAGAGGATTGCCGATTGAATCCTAAACCATTGCCTGTTTGACGTGAGCAACGGTTTAAGATTTCCTTTTTTGGGGACGGATTGGGGGTGAGTGTGGGGGAAAGCGGATAAAAGAAAACTTAGCGCTGTAGAGAGGGAAGAGTTGTGGGTGGATGGGGAGGGATTCTCGGAGGATCGGAGTTGAGGACAGGCGGATTTTTTTTGTAAAAAACAAAGCGGATGAGATTTGAAGGCTTGTAAATATTGAAGAAAGCTTTGCATCCAAAGAGGGAGTGCTCAAATGGGAGTAACAACATTTTGAAGAGAGTTGTGACTTGCGCTCTCCGCAAATTGCAGAGATATTTGGCGAGGAAATGGGTCCAGGTACTTATCCGTCTGTCGCGAAAATAATGAGCACTCTGTCGCATCGGAAATCGCAACGCCGCCGAGAAAATGAATTGTCGCGGCAAGATCAAATTTCTTTTCACTTCCGCGACGCGTTCGACGCAAGCATCGTACAAAAACATGTCAAGACTTTTGAGTCCGCCCGGCACAACCCGCGCCATACATTTTTCTGCGAGCGCCGCCGAAAAAATTTTACAGACTTTATGCGGCGACTAGTACCTGAACCTGGGCATTTCGACCAGGGAAGTCCTAAGTGCGGTGTTCAGAAATTCTTCAAATCTTTCACACTTTCTTGCAGACTGACTCACGCTTGGCTTGCAAAGGAAGGAGCCCAAGTGCGACGCTCATATTTTCTTTAAACTTTTCACACAAATTTGGCCTGTGCCAAATATCTATTTCTAAAGATTTTAGCTTGCGATTTGCAGGGGGAGCCGAGATATTCAACAATCTTTGCGGCCGAGGGAGTAAGCAAATGCAAAGAGCGGCTTGTAGCAACATTGTTCTCTACGATGGAAGGAGGCATAAAAGTTGTCATGCCCAAGCTCAAAAAAATTTTTTTTTAAACTTGGCCAAGTTTCGGGCCAAAAATGCCCAGTTTTTCAAAATTTTAAAAATCTGAACGCGATTTTTCGCTTTTTCAGTTTTAATTTTTTTCATCTATGCCAACATCAACAAGAAAATCTCGATTCCCAAGATGATCTGAGCCAATTATCTCGCCGAACTAGGGCCAATTATACCCTTCCACTCTTACACTGTAAAGGTCGCTAAATCCTTTTGTTGAACATGTAAAATTGCCCGAAGATTAGGGCCAAAAATGGCCAAATCCAGGGATAAATATGAGTCAGAGTGAGACAAGTCCCTCTTCCCGATATCGTTGACTCAGAGGGATCCACTGGGGCCAAAATTAGATAGGCCTCGCTAATCCAACATGTGTCTGCAAGGTGAACGGGATTGTCTTGTTATCATTTGGGGGTCTGCTACAAAAGGAATGGCATTAAAATTATACTAGGCCTTCCGGAACACGCCGCACTGATTTTTTTCATTTGCACTATGCAGAAAAAGTCAGGGCGAGCGATAGCCCGGAAAAAGCTTATTGCTCGGTTCAAAGAAACCTTTTTTTAGGACCAGTACCTAAACTTGACCAATTGCAGACCAAAATTTTCTCGGAAATTTCGCAAAAAGTCTTGGTATCCAATCGAGAAATTCTCGTCTAAAAGACACCTACTTTGTCCCAACATAAGTTTTTTTCCGCAAAAAAACTTTTGCAGTTATCAGTCTATCGGGAAAATATTGACAGGGGAAGTACTCCAAGTGCGACGCTCAGACTTTCTTTAAATTTTGCACACACATCGGGTATGGACGAAATATCGATTTCTGGAAGTTTTAGCTCGCGCTTTGCGGGCGCCGCCGAGATATCGAACGATTTTTCCCGCCGAGAGAGCACGCTAAACGTGGAGAGTGGTCAGAGAGAAAAACGTTTTTTGGCAATAACTTAGGCAGTTTCGCGCGGAAAAGTTTGATTTTTTGTAGGAATATTACCCTTTACGATAGAAATGGGCATGAAACTTTTCATGCCGAAATTCGGCAAAAAGTCCTAAATTTTCGCCGACTTTCGATCTAAAAATCTCGGTTCTTTCTGCAAAGCGCGAGCTAGGATTCTCGCATATATCTTAGAAAAAATTATTCTAAATTTGTGCCAAGTTTCATCAAAATCTGAGCGTTCCACTTGGATTACTTCCCCTGTGGATAAAATCTCGCTGTGCGGCTCGCGTCGCAGAAGAAAAAAAAACAATTTGATTTTGCCGCGTCAGAATTCGCTTCCTCGGCGGCCCTAGACACTACTATTTTACATTTTTACAAGCCTTAATTACCTATAAATGACGTTTCAAATCTTAAAATCTATTTTTTCAAAAAAAAATTAGCAGCTATTATTGCCCCAAAATGCAAGTTTCGCAGACGTCAATCTGGCGTGCGCTCGGGGTGAGGGTGTAAAATGTAAAGAATTCGGAGGGTATATTGGGGTTTAGTCGCGTGCCCGCTAATTGATTACGTTCATTATGGGCTATTTAGTGGCGCAATTACCTGCTGGTATTTTCGGGATTCCGAGTCGGAACTGCGGGCTGAAACATGATGCAAACGGAGTGACGTGCGTCGCAGGTCGGGGAAAAACAAGCTATTTAGTTTTGGGTGATTATACGCAAAGATTTAGCTGAAAATCTTTTCCAAGAATGGAAGTGATAGTCCGTTAAACTTTGGTCCCCGGTCCGGCCCGGAGGCCAAAGTATAAACATTGCATTCGCTATGAGGTGTAACATATTTATTTTTTTGTTATAACAACTAAAAAAATTACAAAAAAATTGCCAATCATTGCTTAAAGCGCTTCAAAAAACTCCCAATCAGGTCTTGGCTATGTGTTTTATTATTTTTTTTTTTTTTTGGCAACCCTAATTTTCGCTTTTAGACTGAATTTTGTTCATTCGGGGCCAATTTGGGGCCGGGCCAAAGCCAAATGTGGTCCAGCCCGGCCCCGGATTCTCTCATAAACTCCATCGGCCCAGCCCAGCCCAATAAAAGGCCCAGAGCCATATCTAGTCCGTCCGTAAAGTCTCTGGAGCGATTTCCGCGGCATGCACTGTGCAAAAAACAAAACCCCATTTTGCACCGTGCAATAAGCTTTTCCGGGCTTTCTCTGCACAGTGCATGTCACCATGGCTTCCTCTGCACGGTGCATGTCGCAGAAATTCCTCCAGCAACTTTACGAACGGAGAAGCAATAAAAAAACCATGTTTTGAAGTGTTGTGGAGATGTTTTTGAACTCCTCCGTAATCTCTAAACCTCTGGAAATGTATCATACGACGGATTAAAGAACCGGTGCATCCAGCCACAGGATAAATAAATCTTTTCAGTGAGCGCGAAAACAGAGAACAGTCTTCTGCTATAGCAGTGCTGCGACGCTTAGATTTGCAATGAAATTTGGTGAAATTTACAAAGGAAGTAGTTCAAGTGCGACGCCGAGATTTTCTTCTAGATTTTGCGCACGTTTTGGGCATGAAGCTTTTTTCAATTCCTGCAAAATTTAGCTCGCAATTTGCAGGGAGGGCTGAGATATTCAACGATGTTTTTGGGACGAGAGAGAACGCAAAACGCGGAGAGCGGTCAAAAAAGCAATTTTTGGTCATATCTTTGCCAGTTTCGTCCGGAAAGAATTGATTTTTTGTGAAAACATTACTCTCTGCAGTAGAAATAGGCATGACAGTTTTTATGTCAAAATTCGCAAAAAAAGTGTTACATTTTTTCCAACTTTCGATCTAAAAATCTTGGTGGTTTCTGCAAAACGCACGCCAGAAATCTCATACTAGTCCTTCCGGAAAGTCGCCGGACGGAAATCGGCGACATGCACTGTGAGAAAAAACTCGGGGTGCGAGCAACAGCTCGAAAAAGCTTATTGCACAGTGCAAAATGCCAAAAATTGCACAGTGCAAAGTGAACTTTCGATTTCGCAGAGTGCATGTCGCCGATTTCCGTCCGGCGACTTTCCGGACGGACTAGTATATCCTGCAAAAAGCTCTTCCAAATTTAAGCCAAGTTTCGTCCAAATCCATGCCTCTCACTCACATCACTTCCCCAATTAGTAATCAAGCCAAATTCCCACAACAAAACACACAATAATAACTTCATTTACAAAGTGTTATAAGCAGATATTTTTAGCCGAAATCTCAGCAAAATTTGCGGGAGAAAGTGCTTAGCGGTGGGAACTTGCGCTTAATTACGTTAGCATGATGACCGAGCTGTCTTATAGTGCAGTATAACGACATTACATTTGGAGGAATAGTGCGTTCAACGCAGGCGGGCGACGGAAATGACAATAAGGGAAAATTAATGAACTTGCAGGGAAATAAGTAAATAATAAAGGGAGGGAAAACATATTTATTGTTGCGCGATCAAAGCAGTCGTATATTATGGTAATACACAGGGGAGATGGGTAAAGGGTGACGCACAGATTTTGACGAAACTTGATACAAATTTAGAAAACAGTGACGGACCTGATCCAGTGGCAAAAAACGTACCATTTTGCATCCGGGAAGCATCAAAAATGTAGCAAAATACCTCCATTTCCAAGTGAAAAAAACTCTGATTTCAATAGCGCGCCCGTAGTGGACTTTTTTTTTATAAGACATGTGTACAAAATTTAAAGAAAATCTGAGCGTCGCACTTGGAGCCCTTACTCTTGCTAAATTTTCGAGAAATTTCATCAAAACATCAGTCTCAAACCACATTTGTATAGTTTCAAAACATACGACTATCGCGCCGAAACTCGGGCATAAAACACAATTACCACTGTAATTTGTCTATATCAGTGTGAAGAGCGCACTTTTTCGTCTCAGTAACCGCACTCGTCCCTACATTCAGGCGGCTGTTGAACCCGAGAATTATTGTTTTCCGAAACGGTTTAATTAATGCCATTGGAAGGGAGTTCCCAGTGAAGTGCCTCTTCATCCAATGTCATTTACTCAGACGGGTGGTGCGAAGAGACCGAGATGCTTTATATATAATACTATACTCCTTTACACATCACATTGTATGCGGTAAACAATTGGAAAGTTATTTATTGTAGGTATCGGATAAAATGTAAGATTTATGATGTGTTTGGAAATGGATGACTTATAGGGCATAAACAAGCTGAACAAGTGGATAAAATATTGTAAAAAAATCATTTTTTTTGCAAAATTCTTTACAAGAAAACTTCTCCAAGTGTGACGTTCACACTTTCTTTAAAATTTGTACACATGTCGGGTATGGTCATATATCAATTCCTGAAAATTTAGGACATGGTCACCGTCTGCAGGTCACCAGATCTTTCAGCAATCTTTCAGGCCGAGAGAGCAAGCAAAACATGGAGAGCGGTCAGAGAGAAAAACGCATTTTGGCCATATCTTTGTCAAAAAAAAATAATTTTTTTTCTGTAGGGACAGTACCTTCTACAATACTAGCAATTTCACAAAGTTCATGGACATTTGCACTGTGCATTTCGCTTACTTCACGATTCTTTTCAAAAAATTTTCACACGGTGCAATTATAATATCTCAAGTTTTGCAAGGCGGGAGCTAGAAGACTCGCATTTTAAATTAAAGTTTTTAAGTAAAACTTATAAAAAATTAGTCTAAAATTGCCCCAAGTTTCATCAGAACCTGAGCGTCGCACTTGGGGTATTTTATCCGTAAAACAATAGCAAAAGTTTAATCTGATGTTTGTGTTGTGGTGAGTCATGTCTATATGTAGTGTATCCGTTACTTCAAATTCTTATGTCATTCGCATTTTTCTTGCTTACTGTATCAAACTTGGGATGTCCAAATCGTTGTCGTTGAGAGACTGAAAAAATAAACAATGAAAACACACGTAAAAAGTGAAGAAATAAGAGGATATAAAACAGTAAAAATTTTTGGCCATATCTTCGCTTTTTTTGCGGAAGCATTAGTCACTACAGTAGAAATACGTATGAAATTTTTCATAACAAAAAAAATCGCAAAAAATTGTCATATTTTCGCCAACTTTCGAATAAAAAATCCCGGTAGTTTCTGCAAAAAACAAGCCTGAAATCTCGTATATGCCTTAGAAAAAACTATTCTAAATTTGTCCCAAGTTTCATCGAAATCTGCGCGTTGCACTTGTACTACCTCGCAGTAATTTTAAATCCGCAACAAAGCCCAATTTCCCCATTAAAAACACCAATTACGTTAATCAATTAGCATTCACGCACTTTGGCCGCTAATCCGGCTCAATGTGCGGCCGATGGCGTCGTGATTAACCTTTAATTTACGAGCAATTACAATCTCTAATTTCCCAAATTTTCGGGCCGCGTTTTTGCACACTCTAATCATCGCCTCATCCCCAATATATTTTACAATATATCGGAGAAAAGTGGGGTGCAAATCGGCTTTGTTGTCGGCCCCGATTCGAGATGATTAATTCCATTGCTTTCTTATCGCCCAACGATTTTTAATTTCCAATTTGAGCGCGGTTAATCGTCGTATTACCGCCTTGCCGGTCCGCTTTCCGGCCCCCGAAATACGCCGGCCCAAATCCGCGGATAATGCGGCGTGGCTTGTGGGTGTTGGAAGACGCACAAAATGTTAATCACCGCAGCCCGTAAACAGCTGGCTGATCCCGATTCCGGCCCAATTCCGGGCGGGGATAATGCGGTATTTTCGGGGCGGAAATTGTCGCGGATAATTGGATGCGTTATGCGGATTACATGGGTGCAAAAATTGAACGGGATTCGGTGCAAAAATGGGGATTTCCGAGATTACTGTGACTTTTTCCCTCGATTTTTTGAGGGAAAACAAATTAAAAAAATGGTTTTTTTTGATTAAAGTGCTTGAAATACGAAAGCTACAAGATATCCAAGAGCGACGCTCAGATTTTGCTAAAACTTGGCACAAATTTAGAGCTTTCCTTACAAGATTTTTAACTCGAAAATTGGCAAAAAATCAAAAAAAAAAATTTTTGCGAATTTCACCATGAAAAATTTCTTGCCTATTTCTACGATAGAGGGTAACGTTTCCACAAAAAATCAAGTTTTTCCGCGCGAAACCAGCAAAGATATAGCCAAAAAGTTCTTTTCTCTCTGACCGCTCTCCGCGTTTTACGTACTCACTCGGCCGCAAATATTTTTGAATTTCTCGACTGTGCCTGAGGAAGAGCGAGCTAATTTTGCCTGAAATTTCTATAAGTCGTCGGGAAAATAATGTGGATTTGTCGCAGAAAGATGTCAAAATTCTTCGCTTCAGTCACACATCAAATTTCCAGCCGCCGCTAGCCGTCGCAGAGCGATCATCGGTGACTCCAAGGCGCAACGAATCCACATTATTTTTTCGACAGACTGATATCTACCCCATGCTCAAATGTGTGTGCAAAATTTAAAGGAAATCTGAGGGTCACACTTTGGGTACCTCTTTTGTAAAACTTTGTTTGAAATATCATTCTGCCGGGAAAATAACGAGCCCTCTGTCGCAGAGAAAATCGCATCGACGCCGAGAAAATTAACTGTGTCGCGGCAAGATCAAATTTCTTTTTTCTTCAGCGACACTATCGTCGCAGCGACATTTTGCTCATTATTTTCCCGACAGACGGATAAATAATCCAGATTCCGTACTATATATACTAGTCCGTTCGTAAAGTCGCTGGAATGATTTCGGCGACGTTCACTGTGCAAGAAAACTCAGGGTGCGGGCGACAGCCCAAAAAAGCCTATTGCACTGTGCAAAAAGCCAAAAATTGCACAGTGCAAAGTGAACTTTTGGTTTCGCGGAGTGCATGTCGCCGAAAACATTCCAGCTACTTTACGAACCGACTAGTAATACCTCCAAATCAAGAATCCCCGCTCTCATCTACAGTACTCGCTGTTGTTTCGCGTGATCCGCTTTCGCCGCCCCTCCAAATAACTCCAAATTGGGGCGCCATTAGGCAAATTACCGCCGACGCAATTCCGCCGACGACGACCGTAAGCGGGGCCGCTCCGGGAGCGACACAAACAACGCCCGACGCCGCGATTGACGTCCGTCGGGCCCCCCGATTTAGCTACCGCCCGTTGTGCATCTGGATAATTAATCCGGTGTTGGGATTTGCGTTCGCCAAGTGTAATGTGACTTACAGTCCGCACGCCATGATGACCGGCGTGAGAGGGCGGACAGGATGTTTACATTACATGCAATTGCAAGATGATGGAAAACACTTGTTTTTGAGATAAATTTGTCCAATTTTTGCAAGGATTTTCTTGCGACAACATCGTTGAAAATGTGAGAAAAGTGATCTTGAGTGACTATCAGTCTGTCGGGAAAATAATGTGGATTTGTTGCGCTTTGGAATCGCCCATTATCGCTTTGCGACTTTCCGCGGCAGTGGATTACAGCGGCGGACATGATCCAGTGAAAAAACGTACCATTTTGCATCCAGGAAGTATCAAAAATGTAGCAAAACACCTCTTTTTAGAAGTGAAAAGGCTTCAATTTCAATAGCACGCCCGCTTTTTTTGTGAGCGGCTTTTCAAAACGGAGTTTTTTAGCTTGGAAAGGAAGGTATTTTGCAGCGTTTTTGATACTTCCCGGATACAAAATGGTACGTTTTTTGACACTGGATTAGGTCCGCCACCGTACCTAATTTTTTGTTGAAACCTTAGCTTCTACGGTAGAAGCGTGTTAAATTTTGTATGCTTCAAAGAAAGAACGCCACATTTTTGTCGAAATTTGATCTAGAAATCTTGGTCGTTTCTTATTGAAACGTTGTCCAAATCCTTAGACAAAATTAATCTAAACTTATGCAAAGTTTTATCAAAATCTGAGCGCGCTCTTCGAGCTCTTGTAATCTTTGCATTTCAAGCACTCGATTAATCAAAAAAAAATGTTTTCCCCGACAAACAAAGAAGTTACAGTAACGGCGGAAATGACCCCAAGACCCAATCCCGTTCAATTTTTGCACACATATAATCCGTATAACGCATCTAATTACCCGAGACAATTTCCGCTCAAAAATACCGTGCCCCGCATTATCCCGGAGGGCCGGAAACGGGATGAGCCAGCTGTTTTTAGATTACTTTCCTGACACACCGTCCATGTAGGACGGGCCGAGGCAGGGTCAAAGCTCCTCGAATTTTGCGTAGAACTCTGTGTGGAAACAAAAAGTCGAAAAAGAATCCCATCATAAATCATGAATCGCAGAGGGCATACATATGCTAATTTTTAAAATCCGCAAAGTCAAGTCAAGGTTTTGGCCCCAAGCAGAGGTCAAATTTACCAAAAAGCAAAAGGTAAATCGAAAAATTTCAAAAGTTATGGCCAAAATTAAGTCGAAAAATCTCATTTTCAGTGACATTCAACGATCTTTGCGGCCGGGACAGCCCGCAAAACACGGAGAGCGGTCAGAGAGATAACACACGTCAAAAAATTCTTTCAGAAAATTGAAAAAACAAGGAACCTCGGATCATTGATTTTTTGCGAAGTTCCACAGAATTATCGAGTCCGAAAAATTATTTTTCTCTTCGAAAAAAATATTTTTCGCGAAAAAACCTTTTTTTCTGGAAAAGTTTTCTTTTGTGACTCGATAATGCGGCGACAATTCGTTCCTTGTTTTTTCACTGTTTTTGATGTGTATGGCGAAAATTATGTCAAGAAAAATTCATTTTTGGTGACATTCAAGGATCTTTGCGGCATGTAGCCCGCAGAACGCGGAGAGCTGCCTTATTTTTGCAGTTTCGCGAACAAAAAAAAAATTTTTGTGGAGAAATTATTATACCTTCCACGGTAGAAAGAAGCTCACCCTCAAAACATCCCAGCCATTGGATTGAGTCTTCAAGATATACGACGGATCTTCCTTTCGGTAATTAATGCGGACCGTGCGTAGTCCGTAAATCAAGGATGCAACAAGTCGGGCTCGCATCGCCAGTTGACAATGTTTAATCTAAAAGTTTAATCTTATATTTTTTTTGGTTCCAGCAGTGTAAAATACGCCCGGACATTGATCACGGAGTTATCTTGACGGAAGTGGATCCCAAACATTCAAAAAACAAGAGCTGAACACAGACGTACTCTGTAAACGAACCCGTTTGTTATCGAGCAGTTTGGAGGTGATGCAAAAGGAAACAAAAAACTGTTAATGACAAAGTTGTCTTGACGGGAAGTGGATCCCAAACATTCAAAAAACGGAAAAGCTGAACATAGACGCACTCTGTACAACGGACCCGTTTGTTATCGAGAAGTTTGGAGGTGTTGCAAAAGGAACAAAATTGCACGGTGCAATCCCACTTTTTGGTCGAATGCACGGTGCAAAACGAGTTTTGAAGTAACGCAAAAAATGCACAGTGAAGATTCGCAGAAAATTCCACGCACTTTTGGCGACGTGTAGCATGACCAAAAATATAAAAAAAGTGTCTTTTGACCATCAGTCTGTGAGAAAACAAAAGTTCACCTTGCACTGTGCAATTTGTTGCTTTATGCACCGTGCAAATGGTTTTTTTGGGCTGTCGCTCGCACCCCGAATTATTTCGCAGGTCGCCGAAATCACTGCAGCGTCTTTGGGAACCGACTTTCAGTCTGTCGGGAAAATAATGTGGATTTGTCGCGCTTTGGAATAGCTCATCATCGCTTTGCGACGACCAGCCGCGGCTGGATATTTGGTGCACGACAGCGACGAGGCGAGACTTATTATGGCGACATATCCACACTATTTTCCCGACGGACTGATACTAAGCTTTTGGGCTTTTCGTTGTACCGAGATTTTACTGTAACCACAGACACAGTCCAGCTCAAAAATTTCCGCAATAAACTCACATCATTCATGAACTCTCCAGACTTGCGCTCTTTGATGAAGGCCCTGAAAAAGGTGCGAATAACCCTCTTCCAATCTTCAACTTGATCCTCGGACCCCATTCCCAAGATTATGTACAAAATGGCGGAGCTGTATTCGAAAAGCCGAAGTGAGACGTGCGCATCGCCAAAGTCGAGGAGAGCGCTGACTTTGAGCTTGTTGTCCTTGTCTCTGATCAGCAAAACGTTCGTTTCGTTGATGTCGGAGTGGATTAGACCTGGAATGGAGTATGAGGAATCTATTTGTAAAATACGAAGTGCCCATCTATCGATAAAAAAATTGGTTTACTGTCACTATGTCGGAAAAATAATGAGTACTCTGTCGCATCGAAAATCGCATCACCGCCGAGAAATGAATTGTGTCGCCGCAAAATCAAACTGTTTTTCACTTCAGCGACGCCACTGTGAGATTTTGCTCATTATTTTCCCGACTGAGTGATAAAAATTTTTGGTGGAATTCACATTATAAAAACACAAAAAAATCAGGAAGTTACCTTGTTCAAAATCACCGTAATTCGAGAAAATCTTCTCCTCCAGCTCCTTGAAAACACGACGGCAGGCCTCAGCTTGCTCTGCAGTCATGAATCCAGCCTCCAATAAATTGTCAATTTCCCTCTCCAAATACTTGTAATATTCGAGGGAAATCAGCGGCCGATGCTGACGAAACAACTTCGTGTCTTGCAGGCATTGATTAAATTCCGAGGCATTGCTGAATTTAGCGACAAGTTCGCCTATAATGGAGATCGTTTCGTCGTTGAATCCCACCGATTCCAGTGTTTGTCCTTCGACGAATTCGAAGAGCCTTATTGGAAGTTTTACTGGAAGAACCAATGTCCGTATTTTACCAAACAAATACTTCTTGAACATCGAAGAAACTACGATTACTTACTGCCATCAACCATTTCTACAATCTCGTAATTGTCCACCTTCTTGGTGCGCACAATCCCCGGGACTGGGATCCCACACGACCCCAAAGCATTCATCATGTAGACCTGTTCATCTGAAACGAAATTTGATATCAGTCTGTCGGGAAAATAATGAACACTCTGCTGCAAAATTGCATCGCCGCCGAGAAAATGAGTTGTGTCGCGGCAAAATCAAATTGCTTTTCACTTCAGCGATGCGATCGGCGCCGCGATATTGAGCTCGTTATTTTCCCGACAGACTGATACTCCAACGCCGATGGTCAGATTTTGATGAAGGTTCCCAAAAATTTAGAGTAATTTTTCTCCAGGACATGCCGGATATCTCTAGTCCGGGCTGAGAGACGACCGCGATTTTCCGATCAAAGGTTGCCAAGAATGTGACATTTTTGTTCGCGATTTTGGAGTCAAAAGTCTCTGCCGAGAAGTCGTAAAATCAGACCGGCAAAACCATCTGTATTAACTACTATTTCACAGCCGTAGCATTACTGATCGTCCAAACAAACATCGTGCCCGCTCCCTTTCCCTTGTATTATACAATCCTAGTTTGTGCGGCACCGCTCTGCGATTGTTTGAAATACACAGGAATGTAATCAACGGGTTGGGGGCCAGCGCTGCCCTAGCCGTTCTCAAGATCCTGTCGATCTCCCATGCATGTTTGATATAAAATCTGTTATTGGTAGGCATGGCTCCGGGCCGGGCTTTCCAAAATTTTCCGGCCCGGGCCGTGCCGACTGATTTCTCGTCCCGACCCCGGGCTTCGATTTTCAGGCCCGGCCCGGCCCGGGCCGGCCCGGTTTTTTTGAAATCTGGATTTTGCCCGGAAAAAAAGGAAAAATAGGGTTTTCGTTAGATTTTTTTCATTTTTTCGAACACAATGCTGATAGCGAACGTAAAGTGACCTTATTTACCACTCGCCCAAATAAAAAAATAATTTTCCAGTCAATTTGAAAAAAATTTTTAGAAATTCTTAAGTGCGACCTCATAGTTAATACGCAGGCAAAAAAAGAAAAAGAAAAAATTTTCAAAAATACGCAATACGCTTGTAGCTTTTTTCAGATCCGACAAAAGATCTGTGATAAAATATTTTTGCTAAAATTTGGGTGACTCTACACAAAAGCTTATGATTTTTTGTAACCATATGGTAAGAAAATTTATGGTGACTTAGTAATTTATAAAAATAGTCAAGCGGCAATTGCACTATGTATAGGTTTTGCTAAATTATTGTTTACATTTTGTGAAAATGTGCCATAATTTTCCCTTCATTTCCTGCTTTCTTTCCAACCTAGTACAAAAATTTTCCGGGCCGAACCGGGCCGGGCTTGGAGATTTAGGCCCGGCCCGCAGGCCCGGCCCGGGCCGGGCCGGGCTGGCCCGGTTTGCAGCCATGCTTAATTGGGATCTAGTATAAATTTCGTCATGGTAAAAATCAAAACATCCTGACAACTTTAAAAATTGTGTGCAGCTCGGGTGTGGTGGAGGATAGTTGTGGCAAACCCGGGTTCAGAAGTCTTGCAATTTTGAGTAGAATAACTTGAAACCATCAAAAAAAAAAAAAAAATAAAAAAATCATTCCCAAGCGGTTAAAATCCCAAGGGCATACCCTCAAAAATTTGAAAAATCCGCGAAATTGGAGAAAAGATTTGGCCTATATTTTTGTAAAATACGTCCAATCAATTACAGGCTCAAACTTACTCATCAAATCCGGCAAACTGGCTTCGATTGGATTCGAAAATTTGCAAATTAATTTTCGCCCCGCTGAGACGTCATCCTTATAACGAACATCCTCCAAAAGGAAATTGAGATCATCATAACCAGTGAGCTTTGTGCATTTTGCTGATTTGATTCCGTAGACCGCTTCCAGAATTTGTAGCAAGCGTTTGGTTGAGATCACCGGGGCCTGTGTCACAAAGTCCTCGGGAAATGGAAACGACATTTTTTCGCTGAAAAAAAGGTTGAGTAAAATACGAGAAGTATACATGCTTATATACTAGCTGGGCCAAAAAATTTGAACGTTTCTGTTGGAGGTCGAAAATATTGTGACGCTATTTTTTGCAAAAAAATTTGACATTTGCGACAGATTTTTTGGAAAATTTTTTTATCAGTTTGTCAGGAAAATAATGTGAATTTTTCACGCCTTGAAGTGTCCAGGTTAAGGCCAGGGCGCACCTCGGAAAAATTATTTTTGCGCGGTGCCAAAATACGATTCAATAAACGCAAAAAAGATATTTTTTTACATTAACTTCAATTCTAAAAAGAATGGATTTTTTTGTAAAATACGAAAAGCAGAATAAAAAATATTTGAATTTTTAGAAATACATAACCAAATATTTCATGTTTTTCAAGCTAGTTGAATATAGTTTTCTAGCTTCCTCCCCTAAAAAAGCCTCCCTTTCTTATCAAAACAGAAAATTTTCCACAAAAAATAGAAGAAATAAAGGCGCGTCTTTCGAAATTTCTGTTTGGACATTTCGCAAAAAAATTGTGTTTGGTATTTTGTTTGTCTCAAAAAATAGCTTTTTAGTCTGAAACTACAGCAAAAAAGTCATCAAAGAGAGCAAATTCCAAAACTCAGGAACATTTTTTTGATTGTTAATAAAAGTTGTTATCAGAAGATTACCGTAAGACTTTTGCCGAACGAAAAAAATCGTTAACTTTACAAGGGAATGGTCTCAAATGCGATGGTCAGAGTTTCTTTTTTATTTTCAAAAATAAAATTAAATCTTTCAAGACACCGCAATTACCTTTACAGATTGCTTCAAGATTCTTCAAGACCGCTTTAAAAGTGTTATTTTTTATGTATTTTTTATGTTATATTAATGAGGTTAGCACATGTGCAAGAAGGTACAGATGCGTTCGGGGTCGATTTTCTTTTCCTCGGCTCTCAGCCATTTGGCCAGCTCGACGATGGCGCGGTCCACCAACTTCTCGCAGACTCGGTCCAGGAAACTCACGTTGTGGGACCATTTCAGACAGGCTTCCTGAAAGGAAAATATGAGGTTTTCATGTATTTTTCAGGAAAACAAATCAATTTGCAAAAAAAATTTTTTTTTTTATTTTAAAAATTTTTTTATTTTAAAAATAATTTTTTTATTTAAAAAATTAATTTTTTAAAATACCGATTTTTTCAGTGTCAAAAAATGCTAGCATTTTCATAAAGTGCGGAGACCGGGCACCGTGGATTTTCGCTTTTTTTCGCGCGTCGCATCCATTGTAAAAAATTTTTGCACTGTACAATTGCCTTTTCGACCCACACATTTCTCGGTGGCGCAAAGTCTACGCACTTTATGAAAATGCTAGTAAATATGCTTTACAGGGGAAGTACACCAAGTGCGACGCTCAGATTTGATGAAACTTGGCGCAAACTTAGAATAATTTTTTCGGTGACATACGCCGAAAAAATAGCTCACGCTTTCCAGAAACGACTAAGATTTTTAGGTCAAAATTTGACAAAAAATTGACATTTTTTTGCGAATTTTGGCATGAAATGTCTCTTTTCTATTTCTACCATAAAGAGTAGCGTTTACAAAAAAAAACATTTTTTTCCGCGCGAAACTGGCAAAGATACGGCCAAAAAGTGATTTTCTCTTTTACTCTCCGCTTTTCTCGTACTCGGCCGCAAAAATTGTTGAATATCTCGGCTGTGCCTGCAAAGTGCGAGCTAAGAATTTTAGGAATTGACATGTGACCTATGCCAAAAGTGTATGTGCAAAAGTTTAAGAAAATCTGAGCGTCGCGCTTTTGGTAAAACATATTACGTTATACTTTCCTCGTTGGCCAAGGACGAGGCTTACAAACTTTTTTTTCACTTGAAATTTCTATACATCGTCTCTAGATTCCCCTACAAACTCTCCCTTCAACTTACATTGACTTTGGGGCGGATGGTCTCCAACTCAAGCCGGGTCTCCTTGATCAACTCCTCCTTGATGGTGGAGAACAAGAAGTTGCAGGGTTTGCAGAGGAATCGGTTGCCCTCGACGTCGAGGTATTCGCTTTTCAGTGTCTTGGGCATGGAGACGCCGCGGATAGAGGCGGCAGCGGCCAGCTCCACCTGACGTTCGGCGTACAGCTCGGCCTTCAGCTTGTCAATGGCGGCCTGAAGATTTCGGAGTAAAAATTAGGTGATTTTATAGTTTTTGACGGTTCAGTAAAAATTCAGAGAGAAAAGTTGATTACCACTCTTCTCCCAGGAGTTTTAAAGAAGCTATATATTGGCCTGCCGGGAAAATAATATGGGTTTGTCGCGCCTTGGAATCGCCTAGAATCACTTTGAGAGGGCTAGTCGCGGCTAGAGATTTGGTACGCGACAGCGACAAGGCAAGCCGTCTTGCAACAAATCCGCATTATTTTCCCGACAGACAGATGTATAGCACACAAGATTGCTGAATATCACCACTGCAGATGAGGAGTGAACGCTAAGATTTTTATGGTTTAATAAGCGACCTATGTGGAAATAAGCGACATATCATTTTTTAGGATGCCACACATTTTAGGGCCGCAATAAAACATGAATTTACGGGGATCTTGCAGTCTGTCGGGAAAATAATGGACCCTCTTGTCGCCCTCTCAAAAAGCAGCAATTGAAAAAATAAAAAATATTGAGCTATAGGCCCAAATCATACCCTTGAATTTTGATGACAATTAGCCTAAATTTGATAACATCCGTTTATCAGTCTGGCGGGAAAATAATGAGCACTCCTTGACAGCGAAAATCACATCGATGTCGAGAAAATGAATTTTGTCGCGGCAAAATCAACTTCTTTCATTTTAGCGACAAGACTGGCGTAACGACATTGTGCTTATTATTTTCCCGACAGACTAATAGCACCCGGAAAATTCAATATCTGCCGAATGGCCTACTGTAGCCTACAGTAACCGATACCGCCTCAAAACTCGGCCAAAATCTCACCTGAATCTCAGCCTTGGCCATGTCCCATTCGTGGTCATCGGCCTCCACGACAACAGCTTGAGGCTGTTGGAGAACGGCGCTGTGCGCGGCTACAGCCAGCAAAGCAAGAACGAGGACGGAACGCATGATACAAGAGTATCAAAGAAGACGCTGACAATGAACAATTGGTCGGCCCGTCGGCGCTTTAAAGCCGGCTGATAAGTCGTTATCGGCGTCTTGCTTCATTAACCCGCGAATTCCGAGCAGGTCATATGCCATTAAACTTTTCCATTTTTAGGAAGAATCGCCCGCAAATGATACGGTGTAAGTGTAAATATTTGTGGCAGATAAAAGTTTTGGAACACACGGAAAACAAATCACGGTTGTGCGGGCCAAATGGACTTTGGGAACGGTGTGCTCGAGATTAAAATATTTAAAAATGTTGTTTTTTCTAGTGGAATAGAGAGGGTGATCTATGTTTGTGAGCGAAAACAAGATAAACACCAATGACCGAACTAAAAAGCGTCAAAATGTTTCCTTCAGTAAGACATAGAAATCTCCAAGTGCTTGAAATAAGAGTCTATACGAGTCTAGTTAATTCATCCACCGCTTTCAAAGTTATGGGAGTTTATTTCCAAGACGGTAAAAAGGCCTGCCTAACCGTATCGTAAGTATAATATTTACCATTTATACACCTGGAAACTTAATTTGCAACATCTAACTGCTAAATCCATGGCTTGAATTAGCTTTTGTAAGCAAATGTTGGCTGATTTATAAACATGACCGAGGAATCTCACTGGTTCTTTTAGTTGCCCGCGAATTTTTACATAACCCCAATAAAAGTGATGATAATTAAAGAATCGGTAGACCTCCTGGACTACGGCCAAAACCCAATGCTGGAAGAGGCGCCCGAGCGATAAACCCCTAACATTATGCGTCATCCCGGTTTCTTCTCTTAACAAAGGAGTACCTTAAGTGCGACGCCCATATTTTTTATGAAACTTGCGAGAAATTAAGATGTTTGTTTCAAAAGACCTATACAACACTCTTAGCGCGCGCTTTGCAGAAACGACCGAGATTTTTAGCTTGAAAGCTGGCGAAAATGTCAAATTTTTTCTGAATTTTTGCCATGAAAAGTTCTGCGGCTGTTTCTAAACCAATTTTTTCCACGCGAAACTGAAAATGATATATCCAAAAAGCGTTTTTCACACAGACCGCTCTCCGGTTTCGCTAACTCTCTCTGCGCAAAAATCGTTGAATATCTCGGCTTTGCCTGCAAAGCGCCAGCTGAAATTTTCAGCAATTGATATGTGACCTATACCCAAAGTGTGTGCAAAATTTAAAGCAAATCTAAGCTTCGCACTTGGCCCTTTGTAGAGCTAACAGTTTTTTGTTTGACAAATCTTTTACGGTAGCTTTTTGATAACAACTTTTTTATATGAACAATCAAAAAAGTTTTTTGATTTTTGAAATTTGCTCATCTCGACGATTTTTTGTTGTAGTTTCGGCCCTAAAAAATTTTCGGGACATACAGAATACCCCGCCAAAATTAATTTCTTTTTCGTTTAATAGCGCTACATAAATTGACTTTTGAAATTACAAACGTGAGAAATGCAGCCCTAAATTGCAATTCGACTGCTCATTCATCCTATAAATGCTTTCAAAGTCCAAACATTAGCGTGCACGATGACGTAAAACACACAACTTTAGAAAAAGAGGGGCGAACTACGGTCGGGGACAGTCTTATCAACGAAAAGCCATAAAAATGATGGAACGACGTTCGATATCGCTGGAAAGTTTAGCGAGCGCTTTGTGGACTGCACGTTATGGAGGATTCAAGGTTCATGTTTATTTTTGTAATTGAAGAAAACGGTTTACAGTAATGTGTAAGTCATAATGATTATTATTATATCTCGTGAACGTAGAGGAAGAGGCTGTGGCGACGTTATGTTGATCCAGTTTTATCCCGGACGATAGCCCTTCGAAGGGTCGCGGAGTTGACGTTTGCCACGACGGAAGTCGCGATAACCCAATGTGGATGCTGTAAAATACGGAATGTTTAATCGTTCTGTAAAATTTTGTTGGTTAGTGGCAGAGATTGCCACGGTCAAAATTTCAGCTCCGGCTCCGGCTGTTAGCTCCCAGAGCCGGAGCCGAGGCCAAAATCCAAAAATAAACGTTGTTAGTGCCAGAGATCATACACCCAACGTTTTTGCCACCAAGTTGTGTGCAACACATCCTTCCCAGTATTTTTCAAGCAATTTGGTTTAACAAGACCATGAAAATTTTACTTTTATGAACGGTGAGAAGCCTGGCTCCGACTTTGGGCTCGGGAGCCGGAGCCGCACCCAAAATTTCCGGCTCCGGCTCTGGCTCCCGGCTCGGAGCCGGAGCCGCTCAAAGCCGGAGCCAAGAGCCGGCTCCGGAGCCGTGGCAATCTCTGGTTAGTGGTACCCGTTTGTAAAGTCGCTGGAGTGATTTCTGGCGTTTGCTCTGTGCGAATAAAGTCAGGGTGACAGAGCAAAAAATATTATTGCACGGTGCAAAAAGCAAGAAAATGCACAGTGCAAGGTACACTTTCTTTCAAGCACTGTGCATGTCGCTGAAATTACTTTAGCGACTTTGTAAACGGACTAGTTTGAAGGCTGCGTTATGGGAGGTTGTATTAGAATTTCCTGACAAGAAATGAGTTATTTTAACATCAAAAATACGTAGGTTTCAAATGGCATGTCAACAAGGCAACTTTTTAAACCAATTTTTTTAACAGGAGAGTACCCCAACTGCGACGTTGTTTTGTCACATAGTCTTTTCAGCGGTTGTTTTTATGACAGTTACAGTTTTTCGAGATCTCCGTTTTGTCCCGCTAATCATACTTTGTTGATTACTACTAATAGTTGCAAACAGAAAACTCAAACTTTCAGATCTGAAAACCCCTCCGATAATCGTTAAACTTGTAAAATACGTGGTAGGTATCGATGCTCAAAATTTGCATCAAGACGAACAGAATAGCGTCACGAAACATGCACGGTGCAGTGCTAAAACAGTCCGAAAAATCTACGCACGTTTGAAAAGCAGTAGTAAGCGCGAGAGGTAGATCAGTATTGGCTTACCAAACAGCACAATGAGCACAAGAAATTGGAGGTAAACTACAATCTTCATTTCGAAACGTTGCTAAGCCCGTCTTTTTTAGGACCCTTATATAGCACGGAGGCGATATTTACACATTTCCGGTGTTTTATAGCCCATATTAGCCATAACTGTCCGCTGTTCTGTTTACTCAGTGAATGGATTTGAAATGTTTGAAGGGTGAAAAGCTTGTGATCTGTCTTTCAATTTTTTATGAATGGAACACTTGACGTAACCCGAGATTTCTACAACTTTCGAGAACAAGGGGAAGTTGCCATGTGCTTGTTTTCGAGCTGCGCCCGTGCAAGTTCTCCGAGCTGCGCCCTGTGACTTTCAACAAACCTTCTGTCAGCGCATTGGCCCCTGGTACATATACAGGTTCACGAGTCTATTTGATTCATCTACTGCTTGCAAAGTTATGGGGTTTCAAAAAATGGTTTCTAAACCTTTAAAAATGTCCGGTATAACTTGTGGTATCTATTCAAGCCACTTATACACATGGGAATTAAATTTGGAACGTCTAAATGTTGAATCCATCATTTGGAGTTCGTGTTGTATGCAAATGTTGGTGGATTTCCAAACATTCCCGCGGAATCCTCATGGTTCTTTTAGCCGCCCGCAAAGTGGTTGCCCGCCCTGAAAAGCGTGAGCCAGGAATTTCGCGTAGGTGTTGGAAAAACTTAATCTAAATTTATGCCAACTTTCAGCAAAATCTGAGCGTCGCAATTTGGGTACTTCCTTTGTAAACGACTGTAAAAAATATTGGTATATCGTATTTCATTTTTATTGGTCCTTCAAAAATATACAAAAGAAAATCATTAAAAATGCAAAAATAGTTGTCCAAGTTTGCATTCAAGAGCACACTCAAATATAATATTATACCGAAATTTACACAATGTTTTGAGTGGTCTGAGTCTGATATCCCGTCTCGTTGCTGGGTTCACGGTAATGAACGGTGTTGAGTTGGTCAACGCCCTGCTGCTCCCACTGCACCTTCTCGTAGATCATGGAGGCCGGAATCGCATACGCGGCAGCTTCCAACACCATAAAGAAGCCGCAGAAGATGTAGCCAGTTGAATGTCCGCCTTCCGGGACGTGACTCGAGTACCCGAAACTGAGCCACACGCTGACGCCGCAAAGAGCGGTGAGGACGGCTGAGTAGACAAATTCCTGCAAGATCGTGAGCAATAAGCAACTCGCTCGATGGGTGGAAATGTACAGTGAAAGTTGCTCGAAAAGCCGTGCAAAATGTAACAAAATGCGCTGTGTGCCGAAAAAAATTCTACGCACTTTTAAAAAAACGTAGAGGATGAATCGCCTGTTTATATATTAACGTACTATCAACTCGTATTCTGAACGCGAGCAGTAGATACATTGCACGTGCACTCAGGCCTCAAAGCAATCCCCGAAATTTTGGACTTGCGCTTCGCAGGGTTATGTCATTTCGAATTGCATTTTTACCGAATGAGCAAATACAGTGCATTACACCGTGTGGTCAAAAGTTTCTCTCCTTGAATCCAGGAAAATAATGAGCACAACGTCGCATTGCAAAATTCTCAAAAAACGTTTCATATTTTTGCCAACTTTCGACCAAAAAAAGGTCGGTGTTGCTGAAGTGAAAAGCAATTCGATTTTGCCGCGACACAATTCGTTTTCATGGCCGTGATGCTATTTTCGATCCGAGAAGAATACTCATTATTTTTCTAGACGGATTGATAGTAATAAAAAGTTATTGTGCTCTTAATTTTGCGTCCTCGCATGCAACGATGTCCAAGCCGACTAAAGACCAAAGCAATAATTGATAATCACTTACAACAACAGAAAACCCAACAAGACCTCCACTCAGAGATTGCATGACTGTGTCCGTTTGGTCCAACATAAAGAGAACGGTGGCAGTGGTACTGATCAACAAGCATGACAAGGCAACAAACCAAAGAACTCCACTTCCATCCACTGGGGTCGACGATCCAATGGCGATCAAAAGGAGTACTGCTATGGCCTGGAAGGAAATGCTTGTTTATTATCATTGCTTATAAAAACAAGAATAAATTTCGTTATAGAGTCGGCACAACGACAGTGCGTTCATTATTTTCCCGGCACACTGATACTATAAAGTCCTGACAATTTTATTGTCGCCTGCCAAAATTGGGAATTGCAAGTCGCTAACAATAAGGCAAAAACTTATGATAGTTTGCGGCGACAAATCTATGAAAACGCGCATTGCAAATTCTCGGAAACTGAAGTCTACCCTGCACGTCAAGAAAAAATAAAAGAAAAACGGGCGCCCAATGAAAAAGCCTAGAATTTTTTTTGGCATTCTGCCCTGTGCAAATCCGTTTTTGTCCAAATGGTTTGCAATATTTTGACATAAAGATTAATAGTAAATCACAAGATATTGATACCAATAGAAAGCTTGAGAGCTGCTTAAGCTAATAGAACCAAAATATACCCATAATCGTAGTATTTTGACAGTCTTCGAAGGCGTAGAATACAACGTCTAAATAAAAGTTTGTATCGACGATACCGAGTCAGAGAGCACTGGAAGGAGGTATACGCTCCACGTCAAAAAAATCCTTAAACTGTCCTTCGAGTATCTACACCGGTCTCGTCCCGCTTGATGGGACAGTTTTTTTGATATTCGGCCTTGAAATTTGCACTATTTTTAGCCTAGCTCGAACCATGTTCAGAAAATGCGTCACGATGACACCCATTTAGAATGTACCAGCGGTATAAAAAACAGTTGTACACTACTTGTAGTACTCCCTAGAGTTCCCATAAAAAAAATTAGGTTAAAAATTGTTGTTATGTGCAATTTGGATGACAGGTTTTATGATTTTTTTTCGCTGTGAGAACCTTTGCAATGCCCGAAATTTCTTGACGTGCCCTGTCCAGTCCGTTTTTATTTTTCTCGGTCCTGCCCGGCTACTAGTGGCGCTCTAAAGGTCCCCAGATTTTGTCTGGCGACGTTGCGGGATACGTCCGAAAAATAGCATGTTGCCAGTGCAAAAACGAAAAGTCGTAGTGGCACGAAAGGAAAACGCACTACGCAAATTCACCTACGGACTTCGTGTCGCGAGTAGTAAAGATATTCAGCACCTGAAAAAAACTCGTAATTACCGTCTGCGTTGGCTTGAACAGATGTGGGTATCGAATACAAATAACATCGTTGAAGTTCTCCATAACCTCAAACAAATCGAGTTCAGAGTGTTGTGGTCACAAGGAAAAGAGGAGATCTTTTCCTCGCTCTCTTTTTTCCTTATCTAATCAATGATACCGAATGGTTTTTCGCTTTACAGGGTTATTGCGTTATATAAGGCCGTTTGCAACGAGTACAGCTTTGATTATCAGCCGAATTCAGACGAGTTGCTTGGTTGAATGACTAAATCCTGTATACAGTGCTCAGTCACCTTGCGCGGTACTATAATATAATAGTTTGCTGACTAATGTTGATAGGCTTATAGAAAGCAGCGAAAACTTTGATAGAGCAACAAACAAATATGAATTGCGCAATATGTTTTTGTATAAAAATTAGAATCATTTTTCCTATACTGGTTGACAAAATTTTCTTTCCACCTCGTATCTCGGGAACCGCTGGGCCTAGAACCTCCAAATTCGGCATAGAAACATCCTAGGACAGTCTAACACCATGCCCAAAAAATCATATCATTTGATGCACTTTACATGCCCTTTTTCCAAAAAAGGCAAAAACCCGGATGACAAAATTTTCTTTCCACCTTGGAAAAAACGTTTGTAACTCATAAGCCAGAGGGTTTTAAGGCATGGTTGTGGTATCGTTGTGTTCGCGAAGAAGTCCTCTCTCGATTGGTGTCACAACCTTACGGGGGTTTTAGTTTCTTCGCCCTTGGGCGTCAACTCATCGTTGCCTTGTCCATTTTCAGCCAAATTCGTGGCCAGAGGAGCTCGCATAAGGCACAAGGAGATGAAAATGCCTTTAAAAAATCTGGCATTCATGTTTGCAACATTGTTTCCTCCGGCAGTAGAATTCGATTTAATTTAAGTGCGTTGCAGGGGAAAACGCGCGCTTCCAGGGTTCTCGTTACCAGAAAATTACGCTATTATGGGAACACTGCAGATAATTCAAGTAACTTTTCCTCCTTAAATATTTTCTATGATACTACAGAGTTAAAAAATAGTGACGATTTTAATCACTGATGTCGCGCTTAGATGTGAGCAGAAGAAAGGTTCCAAACGCCCCATGTACAAAATTTGCGACTCTAAGCTTCCTGCGCAAGCTATTCGTCGTGGAAAAAATGTTGAAGGCCTGTCAAGGTCAATGTATTAAAGTAGTCTGGTAGCCAAAAGTCCTAATATACCAAGCTTAAGTAATGCCAAGGCCTAGTGCAACAACCTGCGTTACTTGAGACGACATAGACCAGAGAGGGGTAAGATAAGCTGGTAGATTTCAACACATGCTGTCGTATAAGCCCTAAAGTACGCCGTATGTAGCGAAAATGGATGTAATTTGGACGTTTCCATTCTGTACAGAAGTGATTCTTCGGTTTTGCGGACCCAGGCAGCGCTCATTTCCCCTGCGACGCACTTAAATTAAATCGAATTCTACTGCCGGAGGAACCAATGTTGTAAAAATGAATGCCAGACTTTTTAAAGGGATTTTCATCTCCTTATGCCTTATGCGAGCTCCTCTGGCCACGAATTTGGCTGAAAATGGACAAGGCAACGATGAGCCGACGCCCAAGGGCGAAGAAACTAAAACCCCCGTAAGGTTGTGACACCAATCGAGAGAGGACTTCTTCGCGAACACAACGATACCACAACCATGCCTTAAAACCCTCTGGCTTATGAGTTACAAACGTTTTTTCCAAGGTGGAAAGAAAATTTTGTCATCCGGGTTTTTGCCTTTTTTGGAAAAAGGGCATGTAAAGTGCATCAAATGATATGATTTTTTGGGCATGGTGTTAGACTGTCCTAGGATGTTTCTATGCCGAATTTGGAGGTTCTAGGCCCATCGGTTCCCGAGATACGAGGTGGAAAGAAAATTTTGTCAACCAGTATAGATAAATGCACGAACTAACTACCAGAAAGTTGCGCACCATTGGACAGGGGCTAGATAACCAAAAATTATGGCCGGGTGAGAAGTCGCCTGGGTGTGGGGTCTATGTAAAAAAATTACCTTGGAAATTACCCATCCTTTACCATTTTTTTATATAGACAGTCAAAAACGTTTGAAAAGATGGAGAATTTTTTGCAAATTTTGTTATAAAGAGTTTCATACCTATTTCAACCATAAATTGGAACGTTTCCACAAAAAACGGCCACAAAGCGTTTTTCTCCTACCGCCCCGCGCTTCGCGCACTCTCTCGGCGGCAAAAATCGTTCAACAGCTTTGGCTGTGCCTGCAAAGCGCAAGCCCTCGAAAATGGACCTGAATAAGTGTCCATGCACTTAACGAAAATGCAAAAATTTCAAGCCATTTACATACGTGACTTGTAAATACTTTATATTATAGTAAAATTTCTAAATAGTTTAATGCAATACAAATTCTATCATAGTCTATGGCGCTCCATACGAGCTGCCATGGAATTGTATCAGGCCATCTTGTCCTGGCCCATTTTGTTGTTCTGCTGCCCAAATTTGTCCAAAGATTACTGTGTTGAACACGTGTGCGCCGGAGACAATAAATGAAAAGATCTGAAAAGATTTAGAGTCAAAGTTAAGGCTTGTTGGAGAGATTCGCCCTTTATTGCCAAAAAAAAAACTTGCCCCAGCCAAGGTGTAGGCGGTGACAGCACCTTGATTAGCCCCATTCGCACACATCCAAATGGAGATAAAGTGAGTGATGGCAAAGAAGATTGAGACAATGCATTCCTGAAAGTGAATTGGGTTTTAACATGACATGGTAGGCAATTTCGTTAGGTACTAGTCGTTCGAGAAAGTGTGTAGACTTTTTTTTCGGCTTTCTGTGGCACAACACATTGCATGTTGCGCCACACCTTCCTTTTCGCAACATTTTGCACTGTGCAATTTCTCTTCGCGTGCCCAAAATTCGCACCGACTCCGTTGAGAAAAAGCGTCGCTGCGATATTGCATTTGCACGGAGCAAAGGATCAAATGCACGCCGAAAAAAAGGGGTTTTTGGCCCACACCAAAAAGTCTACGAACTTTTGCAAAATCGTTATGGTCGGTCCTAAAAGTCTTGACGTGTTTTCGCACAGCGCACTCGACGCCGCAAATTGAGTTTGCAAAGCAAACAATCAGCACAGTGCGAGTGAAAAAAACACTGCGCAATCTCATCACGCAAACTAAACTTTGATTTCCCTTTTCACAGGAATTTATCATCCTGTCGGGAAAATAATAAGCATAATGTCGCTGCCCATAGCGTATCGCTGAACTGAAAAGCAATTTGACGCGACACAATTTATTTTCTCAACGGCGAAATTTCGATGTGCCAGAGTGCTGATTATTTTCCCGACGCACGGAAAGTAGACGTTTCAGGCCTTTTTTGTCGCCCGATTTCTGCCAAAGGCGTATTTCTTCGTCAGACACCTCTAAGATTTTGAAAAACAAGCAATTTCCTTACCAACAACGGCCATGAGAAGAACCCTCTGCGAGGGAAGACAATGTCGTCGATTTCCACACCCAAGATCAGGATTTGAATGATTCCCAGCACCAAGTTCGCAATAGCAATCGACCAAACGAAACCCGTCCCGGCCGGTTGGACAGACGCTGCGCCAACGGAAAATATGATTACCAGAACTCCGACCTGAAATTGATTTGTAAAATACGAATTAGAATTTTGAAATCAGATGACTAAAAAACTGCGGTTCTGCGGTTTTTTCAAGTTTTGCAGTTATATAGTATGTAATACACAGTGTCTAACTTGGCCAAATTTGACTCCTAAAAAGTTTCGCTTGCAGTTTGGACGGGCGGCCGAGATAATTCGCGATTTTTGGGCGACAAACGGCGTAAAGTGAGGATGATCGGCCGGAAAAGAAAATTTTGACCATAACGTAGCGATTTTTTTGAAAAAAGTGATCTTTTGCAAAAAAAATGTACACCTCATTTCTTGCAGAACCCATAACTTAGAAAGTGAAAATCGAGAATTTAGCAGATTCCGAAATAAAATTCTTTTCAATTTCTGCAAAGAGCAATCTAAAAATTTCTCTTTTGTATCAGTCTGTCGGGAAAATAATGTGGACTTGTCGCAGCAAAATTTATTGCCTTATCGCGCATCAAATCTCCAGCTAGCCGTCGTAAAGCGACGATGGGCGATTTCAAGGCTCGAGGAATCCACATTATTTTCCCGACATACTGATAGCCTTCTCAGAAAGTGTGTAAGATCGAAGCGCAACACTTGAAACAGTCTCCGTTACGTAGTGGACGTTTTTGTCCCCACCCCGGTTTTGTCCCCAAGACGGTTTTGTCCCCAGGACGTTTTTGTCCCCACTTTTTTCGAGCCTTTTTGTCCCCAGACCGGATTTGTCCCCAGGACGGTTTTGTCCCCAAGACGTTTTTGTCCCCACTTTTTTTATTTTTTTGTCCGCACACCGGTTTTGTCCCCAGGACGTTTTTGTCCCCAAGCTGGATAGTACGATTAAAAATTATGCATTCAGATGTTAATGCTGTTGGTTTGGTGCACAGTACTGCTCAAACAACTTGTTCTTAGCGCTTGGTACTGTATAGTACGAGGTGGTACTATATAGCACGATGTAAAAACTAAGCCATAACACGTCAATGCTATGGGTTTGAAGCCCAGTACTTCTCAAAAATGTGTTTTAGTACATGGTACTATATAGCACGAATTTGTTTTTGCACAAAGTGAACGTCTGATCAGTACTGCATGCCAAAACAACGTCATTCACGCGTTATAGCTTAGTTTTTACCTCGTGCTATATAGTACCACCTTGTACTATACAGTACCAAGTGCTAAGTAAATGTTGTTTGAGCAGTACTGTGCACCAAACCAACAGCATTAACATCTGAATGCATAATTTTTGATCGTACTATCCAGCTTGGGGACAAAAACGTCCTGGGGACAAAACCGGTGTGCGGACAAAAAAATAAAAAAAGTGGGGACAAAAACGTCTTGGGGACAAAACCGTCCTGGGGACAAAACCGGTCTGGGGACAAAAAGGCTCGAAAAAAGTGGGGACAAAAACGTCCTGGGGACAAAACCGTCTTGGGGACAAAACCGGGGTGGGGACAAAACCGGGCCCAATCTCTCCGTTATAGTAAGCATACTTACCAGACAGTAAAGTTTGATGACATTTGGCGCCGTTGTTACCCGCTCCGTATTAAAAGCCATTTCTCACTCCCAAGTTGAGCTGTTTTCATATCATTTTCAAAGGAGAAAATGAAAAACGGGCTCGTCTCTGATAAGGACGTTTGGTCGCTTCTCTTGGAAACGGGGAAAACAACGAGAAATTATCATAATACGCAAAGTGCGATTGTATTTCATAAATTGATTTCTGTCGGCAAACAGTAGTTTGCATGTTAAATAAACCTTTTTTTGTTCATTACGATTATCAGAGAAGATTTTGAGAGCGGAGAGATTAAAATTACATTGATTATGAAGGAAAAGTTATATTGCACTTGACATCAAAAAAAAATTTTTTTTATTTTTGATCAAACTAAGTTAATATTACTCAATTGAAATATAGTATAACGCTTGTAACACCCTTTACTGCCTAATTCAACCTTCAAACCCGTAAAAAAATTTCAAACTCCCCATTTTTCCTCAATTTTGGCAAAACCCCAGTTTTCTTGGCATTCCGTTTCAACTTTTCTTTCTCTCGGAAAATATTTTTTCCACATTATTTTTTATGCGAAATGCTAACCCGGTTGTCGAAATCGATAACATTACATCGATCCAAGATATTTTACAGAGATATTCGACTTGTCACTAACCTAAATGCTAGTCTAACTCAATTTCCCGGTGTTTTCGAAGATAAACAAGATGATAATCGATATGTGAGGAAGTCTAATTTGTTTCTAGTCGCATTCTGCGGTACTGTTTTGTATTTGAACAAGGAAAGGTGAGTTTTGTTTTGATTTTTTTGCTTTTGAAATTTAGATAGAGAAGGTGAAGAAGATCGAGGAAGATTGGTGTTATTGTGAGGATTTTTTGGGTGAAAAAAGCCACTGGCAATTAGGCAGAGGTGTATTCTTGCTGCGAAATGTGAATATCAGCTTTCGGCTAGGAGTGTAGCCTTTTTTTTGATGGATCTAACTTTTGAGGTGTTTGATTTTCGGGCGAGGTAAAATAGGGCTGTTCTGAAGTCAGGGTTATACGAAAATGATTGGAAAAGCAAGGTGTAGGCTCGTTTTTCTGTTAACACAAAAAAATCGCCGAGATTTTGTCTTCTATTAGACTAGAATTTTTATATTGCACTAGACCTCTACTGCAATATCAATTTTCGTTCCAATCCTCCAAATCTTCACTTAGGTTTCCTGTAGTGCTCTTAGAACTCCAGAAATCTGTAAATTCCCTCATTTACCTTGTTTTCAGATGGCAAAATCTTTTCGGTCGCTTCAAAGTTCATGCTCTTGCCCAGGAAAATGTCGGCGAAACAAATGCAACCCCAGCAGAACAGGAAATTCTTCAGAATCACGAAAAAGAATGCGATATCTTCGATGGCGAAGAGAAGAAGAAGAAAAAGAAGAGGAATTTGTTCAGACAAAAGAGAATCATCGAGTATGAGAATCGACTTCGGATGTACTCGGCTCCGGACAAGATTTTTAGGTATTTCGCAACGGTAAAGGTGAGATTTTTGGATTCTTTTGGGTTGATATGGTGCCCTGGGGTAGTTAGAAGGTAGTGATAATTGAACTCGATTGATTAAAAAAGGTTGGGATTGATTTTTGAGCGAAAATTATATTACACTAGGCATCTGATAATTTTTTTTTATTTTTCGGATTTTTGAAGGGGAATGAGGGAATATTTTGGCTTGAAAACATACTTGAGGATGCTGAGTGGAATCTGCTTTTGAGTCTGGCCTCTAGTGACAATTATAAATACATTTTTGATCAAAAAATTATATTACACTTGACATTTTTTATCTTTTTTTGATTGTCACCAAGTGTTTTATGTATTTTTCTGTTTAAATACCGACCAGACTATATTTGACATTCTTTTATGTTGAAATACCGGCATCTCGGCATTTATCAAGAGGTTTTTTGATTAAAATTATATTATACTTGACATCAGATTTTTTAAAATTTTTATGCTCCGTTTTTTCAGTATATTGACAACGACGGTCAAGCCTCGATCTTTATGACTCCGGAAGATTTCGTTCGATCCTTGACACCGGGTGTAATGCAGCCTCGGAGGTATGGCCTGGACATGTACAAGGTTTACCATCCCGGAGAGACAATCACAGCTTCGGATGAGTCGATGATTTTCAATTGGCTGGAGAGAGGAGGCCTTATTGCTTACGAGGACTACTTGTTTTTGATGACTTTGTTGTCAAGTAAGTCGTTTTTTAGTTTTTTTTCGGATTTTAGGTATCAAAATGAAATGAGGAATTTTTTAGCCTCTCCAAACGATTTCCGATTGGCCTTCTCGGTGTTTGATGTGAATGGAGACGGGTTATTGGACAAATTTGAATTCGAAAAGGTCCAAGATTTGGTGCTGAAGCAGTCTCATGTCGGTCAAAAACATCGAGACAATTTTGCGCAAGGAATTTTGTTCAAAAAGTCAGGTTCGACGTGTTTGACCAGATATTTCTTCGGCCCAAATCATGATCAGAAGCTGACTGTGGACAGGTTTTTGCAGTTCCAGGTAAGAAATATTGATTTAGGATGACTTTGAAATATTAAAAATTTTTTTGGAAAAACGCTGATTTTGAAATTTTTTTGAAGGGCTAGAAGAATATTTGGGGTATTTGTAGTAACTGTGAGTTCTGGAGAAGGTACTGGGACCAAATTTTTTATCCCAAAAATAATGCCGATGACATTTTTAATAAAAAATTTATTAATAATCAAAGTCAAAAATTACAATAAAATAAAAAAACAAAATGATACCAAAGAAATATTAAATGTTTACATAAAAAGTTTTTCAATATTAAATACCTGAATAAAAAATCAAAAAAAAAGTAAAATCAAACTTTATCTCCTCATTGACTTGGCCATTTTCATTGCCTGTCGCATCAGGGGCGTGGGGCCTTTCTTCTTCTCGACCTTGCCATTGGTCGTTTTCCCCACCGATTTGATTGTGGGGCCAGCTGAACTGGCTTTGCTCCATCTCTTCTTCTTTTGAGGGGCGACCGTATTGCAGACTTTGGTCGCTTTCTCCTTGGCCTTTTCCTCCTGTTGCTTTGCCGAAATCCGGCTAGCCAGCTCGGACAGTCTGGCCTCCTCAGCAGATTGCGTTCTCTGAAAAAAATAATTGTAAAAAAGCAAATCAAAAAAAAAAAAAAAGAAAATAAAATAAAAAAAAATCTGAAAGTTATTAAAAACCGATAACAAAAAAATGTTAACTTACCTTGAAGAAGCTGTACCAGCTTTCTTCGGCTCTTTTTTCCAGCTTGATGCTGAACTCTCTTCTCGCCACATCTTCCCAGATGTGGTCTTTTTCCTCCCTGATCTTCTTGTTGTAGCTGAATAACAGCTCCAGTTCTCTCACACTTCGGTCCAGCAGGTTTGGGTCATGCCCTAAGGGCATTTTAGTCTGGATAGGGCGGCCGGCTCCTGGGCAATGACCGGTTTTACGGCCGGTGGTGGGGTCGTGGAAGGATCCTGAAATATTAAGGGTAAAAATGGGAAAGATATATACTTTATTCAAAAAAAAAAAAAAAAAAAAATAATAATAATAATAATAATAAAAATACTTACCCTCAACCACTTGTTTCCCACTATCTTGGGGTTCTGTTGAGGCCTCGGCTGGCTTCTGGACGGCAGCAGGCTTGGCTAAGGCCTTGGGGCGCTTAACAATGGGCTGAAATAATAGAAAAATAAGTTGAATAATTTTGGATGAACAGAAATTGATCCAAAAATTATAAAAAAAATGTAAAATATTTTTCAAATTTTGTAAAATACGAATTTATTAAATAACACCAAGTCATAGATATAAAAAATATTTTGCTTACCTGATCAGCCGCCGCCAGCTGTTGTTCGAAGGACAGTGGTCGCTTCTGGGCTTTCATGGTCACACTGGTCATTGATGGGGCCATTGTAAAAAATATAGAGAAATTTAAAAAAGGGTACCGTTCACAAAGTGTGATAATGAGATAAATGATTGCTCCTGAGCTTCCTTTCTGCTCATTTGCTGATTTTTCTGCGCATATTTAACAGAAAAATTTCTGTAGGCGTAGAGATTGATTTTACAGAGATTTTGCTTTGATTTGATTGCATAATTGTTGACCTTTCTAATCAAAATCAGCGCAGAAATTTTTTTGGAATTTTGAATTGTAGTAAATGTCAAGTGTAATGTAATTTCCAAAAGTTTTAAAATATTTTTAATACTGTAGTTTAATCACCATAAATTACAGCAAGACCTCCACCGAGACATTCTCCGCATCGAGTTCGAACGCCGCGATCCCGAATCAATGCCGGTGGGCATAATTTCCGAACGCGCCTTTGCCGATCTCCTCCTCATTCATGCCGGTCTGCCCGACAAAAAGAAGGCAAAAATGATGAACAGAGTGCGGAGAAGGTTCAAAAAATCCGACCAAAATCCTGGAATATCCTTCGACGAGTGCCTGGAGTACTTTACTTTTATCTATCATATCGACCGCGTCGACATGGCCCTTCATTTTTATAAACTGGCCGGAAAACCGCTGGATAAAGCGTTGCTGAAGAAGGTCGCGAAAAAAGTGGCGAATGTGGAGTTGTCGGACCGGGTGGTGGATATTATTGTGACAATGTTCGATGAAAATGGGGTGAGTTTTTTTTTTTTGGGGGGGGGGGGGATTATTTCGGAAATTTTTTGAATAATTTTAAAAAAGTTTTAGGATTTTTTTTGGCAGGAAATGGTGTGAAAAGTTAATATTGAGGTCTGTTAAGGGTTAATTTCTAATTTCTTTTGGGAATTTTTGAGGTTTTTAGGTTATAAAGTACAGTGAGGGACCTGATCCAATGGCATAAAACGTCTCCTTTAGCATCCCGGAAGGGACCCAAATGACTCCAAACCCTTCCCTTCTCTGAGCTAAAAAACTCCGCTTTGAAAAGCGCGCCCTTTCCTTCAAGGCGGGCTCTTCAAAGCGGGGCTTTTTAGCTTCGAGAAGGGAAGGGGTTGGAGACATTTTGGTCCCTCCCGGGATGCAAAATGAGATGTTTTTTGCCATTGGATCCGGTCCCTCACTGTAAGTGTGTTAGATAAGATTGAGGCCTATTGTTTGAAGGATTTAGCAGTGGGAAGGTGGAATAAAAAAAAATTTTTTTTTTTTGATCTTGCGCTTGGTTTTGAACGAGAAATTGGGGAATTTTTAAAATTTCATGAGTGGTGATTGGGAATTTTGAGCTTTTTTTGTCACATTGAAATGAATCTGGGAGGAAGATTTGGGAAAAATTAGAGATTTGTGTGTGTAAGCGATTTTTAGATTGCAAGCGAGAGTGTAAAGTAGTGAAGTTTAAATAAAAAAAAAAAAAATTGGTTGCAAAAAATTTTTAAGTTAAAAAAATTGCTGATATGCACGTATTTTTGCAGGATGGAATGCTGTCGCAGAACGAATTTGTAGCGGTAATGAAGAAACGGATGAATCGAGGCCTCCAACAACCCAAAGATACTGGTCTGATTCGACTGTTCGAAGCTGTTTTGACCTGCTCCAAGGAACGGTTTTCCCGTCTTGTTTCTTCGCATTGAAGAAAAATGGGATATTTTTTACTTGCTGATATTGCATAATGTAGAAGTGTAAATAGCCTTGTACATAAATTAATACTGCTAGGTTGGATGTTTTTCTTTTGTGCTCCAAGTATCGAAGGCCCGTTAGGTATATTGAATGGATACATTTTTATAGTTTTATTGGACTTGCATGGGTTTCTTGGCTCGAGTGTTTTTGTCGCGCCGACTACAGTTTGGGAAGTATCAAATATTTTTTGAGCAATTTTTCGCTCATACTTTGCAGACCACTGAGATTTTTAGGTCCAAACTTACAGGGGAAGTACTCCAAGTGCGACGCTCAGATTTCCTTTAAATTTTGCACACGCGTCGGGCATAAACTAAATACCGATTCTTGAAAGTTTTAGCTCGCGCTTTGCAAGCGCCACCGAGATATGGAACTGTTTTTGTCGCCGAGAGAGTACGCGAAACGCGGAGAGCTGTCAGAGAGAAAAACTTTTTTTGGCCATAACTTTGGCAGTTTCGTGCGGAAAAATTTGATTTTTTGTGGAAACATTATTCTTTACGGTAGAAATATCGGTCTGTCGGGGAAATAACGGCGGATCGTCGCGCCTGGGAATCGCCTATCATCGCTCTGCGACTGCAAGCCGCAGCTTGCGATTTGGTGCGCGATAGCGGCGAGGCGAGACATTTTGATGCGACGATCCGCCGTTATTTTTCCGACAGACTGATAGGCATGAAACTTTTCGTGCCGAAATTCGGCAAAAAGTCCTAAATTTTCGCCGACTTTCGATCTAAAAATCTGGGTTGTTTCTGCAAAGCGCGAGCTAGGATTCTCGCATATATCTTAGAAAAAATTATTCTAAATTTGTGCCAAGTTTCACCAAAATCTGAGCGTCGCACTTGGAGTACTTCCCCTGTTAGCAAAATATGGCACTTTCATGCGAATTTTTGTGTAAGAAGTTTTGTGCCTACAGTGACGGACCTGATCCAGTCGTAAAAAGCGTACCATTTTGCATCCGGGAAGTATTTAAAAATGTGGCAAAATACCGCCTTCTCCAAGTGAAAAACCTTCAATTTCAGAACCGCGCCCTCTCTTTTTGTGAGGGAACGACGCACGACCTTCAAAACGGAGTTTTTCCACTTGGAGAGGGAGGTATTTTGGCACATTTTTTTGATACTTCCCGGATGCGAAATGATACTTTTTTTGAGACTGGATCAGGTCCGCCACTGTAGGCACAAAACTTCTTATACAAAAATTCGCATGAAAGTGCCATATTTTGCCAAGTTTGGACCTAAAAATCTTGGTGGTTTGTGCAAAGCATGAGCTAAAAATCGCTCAAAAAATTTTTGATACTTCCCGAATTGTAGTCACTGTGACAAAAAATCCAAGAAACCCATGCAAGGCAAGTCCAACACAACTTCTAAAATTAGATTCCCTCAATGACAAATCGCCATTAAAATAAACAAAAAAGTTTGGCTCTTCTTGGATTTCCATAACATCCACATATATTTATATGTTATCTTTATTACTCCCCATAGTACGCTGTTCTTTTCCACTTGACTCGGCCGACGTCCGGCCCCGTTTCTTGAATAAATTTACGGCCGAAAAAGCGGCGTATGGGAGAAATAATAGACGTAGTTAAAAGATTTTCTCATGAGCAGTGTAATATTTTTATAGAGTATGTGTCGCCAAGCGGCTTTTAGGTCGGTTTATTTTCGAAATTTTAGGGCTTGTTGGACTGTAAAATTATATATTTTGAGGGTGAGATGGAGGTGGGATTGGAAAATGGGGGGGGGGGGATTTTTAATTTAAAAAATTGATTTGGTTATAATAAAGAATAGCTTTAAAAACTTACAAGGGAAATATTTTACTCCAAGTGCGACGCTGGGATATCGATGAAATTTGGCGTAGATCTGGAGTAATTTTTTCTGTGACATATGCTAGATTTCTAGCCCGCGCTTTGTAGAAATGCTCGAGATTTTTACATCAAAACTTGGCAAAGATGCGACACTTTTTCTCGAATTTTGCCATGAAAATTTTCATGCTATTTTTACCATAGAGAGTAATGTTTCACAAAAAGTCATTTTTTCTGCCTGGCACTGGCAAAGATATGGCGAAAAAATTGTTTTTCTTCCTAGCATCGCCCACGTTCGCGTACCACTCGTCCGCAAAGATTGTCGAATATCTCGGCTGTGCCTGACAAAGCGCTAGCTAAATTTGTCAGGAATTGATATTTGATTCATACGGATGACGTCTAAAAAATACTGGAGCTGGCGATTTTCTTCGTACAGTCCAATTGCTTGCTTTTTGCGCCATGCAATAGGCTTCTTCGTCTGTCGGTGCGACAAGCGGAGAACCTAAAAAACGTTGTAGGAGGTGCATACGATGTCTGGAAAAAGCCGTTGGATGCTCGGCGGAGGCTAGGCGAGGGCTAGGCAAAGACTTACAATGTGGCCAATTTTTTAAATATTAGCCATTGCTAACCCTACATAGTAGTTTTCTTAATCTTGAGTTACAGTGATGGACCTGATCCGGTGGCAAAAAACGTACCATTTTGCATCCGGGAAGCATCAAAAATGTGGCAAAATGCCTCCCTCTCCAAGTTAAAAAAAACTTCGTTTTGAAGGGCGCGCCCTTTCCCTCCCAAAAAGATCGTTTTTGCCACATTTTTGATACTTCCCGGGTGCAAAATTGTACGTTTTTTGCCACTGGATGAGGTCAGGTTACTGTTATTGTCGCGTGGAGAAGACTAATAATAGTTACTCTAAAAAAACGATGATCCATATGTTATATATGGGTATTATTGCTGTAATATGTACATGTGAAATACCTGAAAATCGAAAAATTGTAGCGTAGACTTTTTTCTCACAGTGCAAATGCCAAAAATCAGCCCGGCGGCTTTTCGGGAGGACTAGTAGCCCCAGGAGCCCATGCCATTTTAAAAAATCTTGATCATAATTTGTCATGCCGTAATTTTTCTTTGACATCAATTCCTTCATTCTCTCTAATAAATCAAAATTCCTATTCTTTTGTCACAAAAAATTAATTAATCAATGACGCCCGTGGTCATTGTCACTTCTAAAAAAAGATTTTTTTGCATTACTCATCTAATGGCTCCGATTTTTGAGCCTTATCCATCTTTCGCAAAGTCCCTCGTTTTTTTAAAACCCCTAATAAAATACGCAACAAAAGAGAGGGAGAGTGAGAAAGTGGAGAGAAAAGAAGTGTCAGAAATGAGAAATTAACAAAAAAAAAGAGGGAAAGAGTGCCAGATTCGGGTTAATTAAGAGCAAAGAGGAGTGAGATTTTGCAGAGAAACGGATGGGCTTGGGATATTTTGGGGATAATTTCTACAAGGAAAGAGTCGAGAATCAAATCTGCAGCTGCGGTTACAGTGGGGGACCTGATCCAGTGGCAAAAAACGTACCATTTTGCATCCGGGAAGTATCAAAAATGTGGCAAAATGCTTCCCTCTCCAAGTGAAAAGACTCCGTTTTTAAGAGCGTGCCCTTTAAAAGACGATTTTTGGCTCGCTGCGTCAGCCCGTAATGGACCCGGGACATAGGAAAAAATCGATTTTGAGATTTTTGCGTAAAAATAACCGTCGACATGTGCTAAGGAAAAGCGAACAACAGCTTTTCCCAATTCTCCCCGGAAGGCATAAATTTGCTTAAATTTGTCTTTTTTGGAATTTTCGACCTGGTGACGTCATAGACAGAGAAAATCACCTAAAATTTTGCTTGTATATGTTTTCGACCATTGGCAATTTATTTTTTTGAAAACTAAGTGAAACGAAGTATTTTCACTTGGAGAGGGAAGCATTTTGCCACATTTTTGACGCTTCCCTGGTGCAAAATGATACGTTTTTTGCCACTGGATCGCGATTGTAGCCGTCGCAAAGCAATAATGAGCGATTCTAAAGCGCGTTATTTTCCCGGCAGATATTTTGAGCAATTCTTGTTTGAACCCTCGACCAAGATTCTCATCATCATCAGCTTGTCAGGAAAATAACGGCGGGTCTTTGCAGTCGCGGATCATCGCTTTGCGACGGCTAGCCGCCGCGCTTTGCACTCTGCAACTTGCGGCTTTTTGTATGCGCTGTTTTGAGCCGTTGTTTTCACCCAAACTTTTTCTGCACAGCGCGAGCTATAGGCTCAAAGATCACATCGCCCGCATCTTGCATCATGTCTCAAACAGAGGCCGAGAACGGGTCGTTTTCCCGAAAACGAAACCTTGGGAATCTCTCGAATTCCACCTTCTTTTCTCGCAGACACACTTTGCCACGAACATTTCGACGGAATAAATAATCCGAAATTTGTTCGAACCATGTCCAGTTGAACCTTGGATATCGGAGTTACACGGAGTCCACGTCAACTTGAACGTTTCTGTTGGAAGTCGAAAATATTGTTTTGCGAAAAAATTTGACAGTTGCATATTGAAAAATTAGGGGTTGATGAATGGAATTTTGGAAATTTTGTTGTCAGTCTGTCGGGAAAATAATGTGCACCTTGTGGCATCAAAACTCGCACTGAAGCCAAGGAAATGAATTGTGTCGCGGAAAAATCAAATTTTTTTCATCAGCGAAGCGATGGGCTCACCGACATTGTGCTCATTATTTGCCCGACAGACTGTGATAAGATACAGGAAAACCTTGTACAGCGAATAAGAAGGCAACAAAAAAACAGCGGTGGCCTTACTTTGAAATATAATTTGCAAATTTTTTTTACAAAGGAAGTGCCCCAAGTGCGACGCTTAGATTTTGGTTTAAAATTTGTGCAAAGTTATCGTATTGGCCCCTGTGAGTTTTAGCACACACTTTGCCAGGAGATTCAAGATATTCACCGATATTTGCGGCCGAGACAGTACGCAAAGCGCTAGCGGTCACAGAGAAAAAACAATTTTTGACTACATCGTTGTCAGTTTCTTATGGAAAAGTTTGATTTTGTGTGGAAACGTTATTTTCTGCAGTAGGAATAGGCATCCTACATTTCATGCCAAAATTCACAAAAAAGTGTCGCAT